ATTTGAAGAGCTGTCTTGATTACTTAACAAACTAAATAATAATATTTGTGCCACAACGCAGAGGAATCAGGTGCTCACCACTTCTTGGGTATATGGAATTATTGATATTATCCTAAAGCTTGTTCATTTGCTAAGATAAAAATTGCCTAGCGGGCAGAAAAATGTCAATTTCTTCAGTTTAATTATTTTGACGACTGCCTGATTTCACCATGATGCCTCACATTTACTTTGTGAGAGCAGAATGCCCTGACAGCAGAGTCACAGCCAAATACAGAAGACCCAAGTTTAATTCCTATGAAATAGAATAGTTTTATTGAATCATCTCCATCACTCTGCTAATAGGTAGCCTACCTAAAACAGCCTCAGTTCACTCTCACAGGCTTAGTAAAAGCGACAAAACCTCTTTATTAATATATTAAAAGTATGTACAGTGGAGTCCGCTTAAGACAAACACAGACAGTCAGAAAACAGTGGTAAACTGAAAGTAAATAAAATCCCAAATTTTTCTTTCCTATTTGCACAACCTCTCTTTCAGTTTCAGTGGACTTCTGTATTTATGTAAAACATTTGTCACAAGAAACCTTTGTCATTCCAAAGTTAAAGATTCGGCTTTTATGGCTGCCTGCCAGGGAATTCAATTGGACCATACCCAGAACTGAAGTAATTCTGATCATCATGAACAATTAGGGGTAAAACTAAAAACCTAAGAAGCCACAGACACTACAATTTCGTATTTTAAAAAAAAGATTATACAGGTAAACTATGCACTGGCAGTTGAAAAACTTACAATTAAATACCTTGGCAAATTTTGTAGAAAAACTAATGAAGAAGAAAGAAAAACCCACTGTCAAATTAGCTCTGAAATTAGTAAGGATTTGTTCCATCACATCAGACAACAGTGCTAGGGCTATACTGGCCTTCAGTCCATGTTCTCTGAAGATGGCAAATATGGGTTAGATAGGAAATATATTTTCAACAACTTCTTTTTTTCCTTCTGTCTGTTCCTATCTACAGAAAGCTGAATTGTCTCAAAGGTAATACTGAACAAAGTTAGAAAAATTCACTATTTCGACAAATATAAAGGGGGGTATGTTCCCTAAAATAAAGGGGGGGGGGGGGAGGGGTGTTTCATACCTCTCCTGGAATGTCTCTGGCAATAAGAATCACAGCATCCTTCTCTTTTGTGACAAAAGTCAAAGAGATATCATTTTTCTGTTTGTTGAATCCAATGTACTCGCTTTTAAGAGTCAGATAGCCATCTCCTCTAAAGCCAACAGTGTGGATGCCCTGGGAAATAACAAAATAGAATATAGTTGATTTATGGAATGTAGGACAAAACTAAAGTAGGTGCTAATTTTGCAAAACATTTTTTTTTCAAATATCCACACATATCCTGTACTGATACATTTAGATTGCTGAGAATACACTATTAAACAGGAAAATACTGACACTGAGAAAAACAGCATTAAAAAAGGAAACAAAGTAATAACAAACTGTTTGTGAAAAAACATACAAACTTAAACTTTAAAAGACCTATGAATGGAACAAGTTCACCCATTCAAAAGAGCAACATTAACTTTTCATCAGAAATGAAGTCAGCGAAATGAGTCTGCCTTCTGCTGATATTCTCAGTTACCACTTCAGTTTCTATCCAATATTCCTTGTAATAAACACACAGGGGGTGTGACTCACAAACAGGAAATAAAGCCTTCAATTCTAAAAACATTTCAGTAGAAAAGCTTCATGCAGTCAAATATTCATCTCATTTCTCACTGCTAGTGGCAACAGTTTTCTTATCAAATAAACAGAGAGACTCCTGAACAGTGCCAGAATGTCACAGCTTATCCTACTGCCTCCAAAATAGCACAAAAACATCACGTACATGAAGCCCAAGACAAATACCCCCTGGTCTGTCTAAAATCCCAGGTCTGTAATCTGCACTAGTATGACCTTTGAAACAACAACAAGAGCAAAAACAGTAACACTAGTGACTCCTTATCTATACTGTTTTTAAACTTATATTTGTAAAGCTACTTACATTCTCCCGACAGCCTGAGCTGGTCTGCACATTGACAAAAACACTTGTATCATCCTCTGGGGGTAAGGAGCCAAATGTCAGACCCTTCATGCAGCCATAGAAGAATCTGGTCTGAGTTCTGAAAAAAACAAAAAGAAAAGAAAAAAGAGTTTACAATTAGAGAATTAAAACAGACCACTCTTGTGTGACAGGCTACTACTGTATTCTGAACACTATAAAAGATACTTTTTTCTTCAGATTCAACTGTTATGCCCTTTCATCCTAAGGGTCTTACAGCTGCTCAGGATATGGACTCGCACCACAGGCATACAATATCCTTGTACACTTAGTGAGCATGCATAAGTGCCTGTGTCTTTAGTTTGGTTTTAGTATGAATTTTACGGCACTTTCAACACAATAAGGTCAGAGAAGTGCCAAAGATTAGAGGTGTCAGAAGAGAGTAACAAACACAAAAAAGACGGAGGAGAGATCAGCATGATAGATGTTTTATAGGAAGGAAGGAGCAAACCACACTAGAGCCCCCGCCAACCACCCACATCAATGAGTTGATAAGTGTATGTGCGTGGGTGTGGACAGTGCCATTGTATAGGCATACACGGGTAGACAAGGTGTCTGTGGGTGTCTGCAGGTGAGCACAAATGTGTGAATGCGTCTACTTAGAGAACCAAAACAAGATCCTTTTCGTAGTATTCAGACATCAAAAAAATATTCAAGGGGGCAGTAAGGAAAAAACATCAATAAAATCTGGACACTTCTACAGAAAGGTACATACAAGCCTTGGAACTTGCTCAAGGAGAATGTGGTGGGCAGGCCACCGTAGTACATAGGGGCTCCCTGCAGGTCCAGACCACTGTTGGGGCCTGAGGCTGACATCGGGATCTTCTCTGAGTTCACAATGAGCACAGCTGAAAAAACAAAAATGGTGAAATTTCAATATTTACCACCCCTAACAACACAGTTAGATTATTTAAGAGGCGTCGCCTCCGAGTTAAATGTCCATTTTTGAAAGGACCAAGCCAAATGGGAAATTTGTATAAAGTGCCTTTCCCAAGGACACAACGTTGGATCGGAGCACAGCCGTAACGAGGGAACAAAAATATATGATTAAACTCACTGAAGGCCAACATTCTCTTAAAAATGAGAAGCTTCCTTTAAGGTTTAGTTTGATTAGTTTTAGAAGTGTTTTATGTCACTTGCAACACAAATAGGTCGTATAAGTGCCGAAGATTAGAGGTGTTACCAGAGAGTAACATACAGGAATAGGAGGAGAGATAAAGACAATAGATGTTTTACTGGAAAGAAGGAGTGCCCGCCAACCACCCACCTTCCTTTAGCAACACAAGGCATAAGTTATCCAGCTACATTCAAAATAGGACAACTTTAAGTATAACAGGACACACTGCAAGTGAAGGACTCCATTAAAAACCCAGCTAAACGACAACATTTTGAAAGAAGATTTTGTCCCTTCTCCAAGCTGCCTCCAAGCCTCACATGAAAAATTCCTGGGGGGGTTTTTGTGCCAACAGTCAAGACCCCAAATCAAGTTTTCACAAAGCTGTTTCTGGTATTTTTCTGTTCTACATCTGTTTGGGGCAACCAAATTCAGGGTATATTACAAATGCTATAGATAATGAGCGCATAAATGCTTATTGATGAACAATCACTTACGAGAGGGCAAATTTCTGGATGCAACTACTCACTTGTAGGTAATGAAGACATTTGCTGCCTCCTGAACAATAATGGTTTATTCACTGCTATTCCAACATTGGTGTTTTTACTCTATTAAACAACTCTATGGCAAACATTGTGGGGCTCATCACACTACAATCAAACAACAAGTTTGATTCCAAAGTAAGGAAAACATTTTATCAAACGTCTCCATTTTCTGCCGCAACATATTCCACTTAGTTTGGGGATGCACTGACAGGTGAGATCTAAAGGTACCCATCACCCTGTTCTAAAGAAAATTAGTTGTTCAAGTGAGGGTAATCATATACAAAAATAGAAGGAAAAAAACCGAAGAAAAGCTGACGCCACTAAGAGATTTACCCTGCAATTTTTTCCGATCAAACGTGACTTTGGTCCACTGGTTACTGTTGTATGTGTTGGCTGTGATTCCAGAACCTTTGCTGTTGCCACCCATGTTGAACTTGACCTGCACTCGGCCGTTGACCAGCTCAATGGAACAGAAGTCACCCTAGTAGATAACATAATTCAAGACCATAAGATTATAAGGCTTCAAAGATTTTTTATTTTTAATTCACTGTACTCTGACCCTGATAATATTAAATATGTTTGACATCTGTTGTGCTTGAACTCTTACTATATCCAAATAATATTCCTGAGTAGATCATCATTTCAAAACGAATTTTATTCAACCGGTCTCATTTTCAACAAGCAATCCTGTGATAGGTAGCAAAACACTACTGTCTTAGAAAAAAAATGGGAATAGATAACTTTGTAAGAGACACTATTCCAATACATAATAATAATAGATAGCATTTGTATAGCGCAGATTCACGCTCAACAGCAAGCTTTACAATCTATATTATTAGCCTGCCTCAGAAGACTGACAGCATTCTGAAATAATCTCAACTTCCTGGAAAGTATACAGTTCAAGCTGCCATTTATAAGCACTAGAACACTAACATACCGAACAAGATCTTTCGTTGTCTATGGCCGGGAACCCATTTCCGGATGAAGTGAGGAAAATTTGAGTAAAGTGCCTTTCCCAAGGACACAACATCGGGCCTGTGGCTCCAACCCCGAACTTGTAACCTCGCGATTACGAATCTAGTAGCCTAACCACTAGACTACCGATGTCAAATGCCCTAAATTCATTGTGTCCCAGTGGCAGCTCAAAGCAGAACATCATAACCTGTGATGTTTTAAAAAGTTTGTCAAAAGAAAAATATCACAACTTTACCAGTTCCTCATTGCCCACAAAAAAGATGGTGGAGTTCTCCCAGAAAGTTTTGAACTCCAACTCCACTTTGGTGCGAGAAGATGAGTAGCCTCCAAGGACCTCAAAGCGGGCAAACCCTCGCCCATTGAAAACATAGGTCTTGCCATCGCCAAGCTCCACCAGCGGTCTGGTACAGACAAGATACAGAGAGAAAGTCGTAATTTTAGTACTTTTGACAACTGAAGTAAAGAAAAAAGCCACAATTTTAGTATTTCTGACTACTGATGCAATAATAGGAAGTCATTTATCAGTTTCTGTTTGGTAAAAGTTTTACTTCACTCCCATTTGCTAGGTCATATGAGCATGTGGGACCAAGTTGGTTGCTTATAATGGTCTGAAAAGAAGTAGCAAAGTGAAACATTTGTATACTTGAAAAACTTCATTTTATGCACATTGCGATGAAGAAAAAATAAGAGGTAGGGGCCTACTCTCCTCCAGACTCTTTAAAATCAAAGCATGCTTATAAATAGCACTGCTTGTAACAAGTTGTAGAAAAGTGAATCTAAAAACAATCCCACTTACATCTGTTTGCAAGCTGTGCAATGTTCAGGCTCATTTGTTTTGAAGTTGTAGACTCCCAGCTTACTGTTGTCGATGGACACTTCTCCAAGGCAGCCCACAAAGTTTTCCCGAGTAATTCCAGCTGGGATCTGCCAACACAGAGATAAAGTTCTTTATTAATTACTATAATAGAACCACAACTACAAGGATAGTGTTTACTTCAACTCAAGAGATTTTGAGACTGTATTAGGCTTTACCACATATTTTTCCATATAAAAAATGGGGAATTGCTTTCTCAGACATTTTTGGGCAATATCGCTATGATTCTGCTAAAACCAAATTTTTTTTCAATGTGTAGACATACTGTCAATTTTTTTACGCTTTGTTATTACAATTTAAAAAAACAACAACAAATGAAATAAAGAAAGGCAAAACATGACAGGGATTCCAGTTTAATACCAAGTCAGTATCTTATGGTTGCGGACTGTGTCTCTACAAAAGGCTGGGCCCATTCTATCAGGTTTACCAAAGCCACTGCCCACACATGAACACTAAAACAAAAATTTCAGCTAAAAAAAATGATGTACAGCTCACCGGATGAAGGTTGCTGGTGCCAGCCAAGAAGACGGAGGAATCCTCATTGAGGTTGAGCAGGGAGCAGCCTGCCCCAGCACTGGCCACTTCCTCGTTGGTCCTCTTCTCTGTGCTCTCCTCCAGGCTCCACACCTTGAGCTGACCAATGGAGCCCACTCTGAATATGGGACAAAACAATTGCAGATCTAGTTTTACTAAGAGTTTTGCAGTTGCCTAGCCTTTGTATTTGGGCTGAAACAGCTGTAGTTCTAGTTTTATTCAGAGTTTTACCGTTGCCTAACCTCTGTATTTGGGATGAAAAAGTTGTAGTTCTAGATTTTTAACACTTTGCAGTCACACAGCCAGCAGTATAAAATACCCCATTTGGTCACCCAGCCAGGAGAGCGACTGCAACAGACTTCTCGCAGGTGACCGAAACAGATAATTTTCACCGATGCGCCAAGTGACCGCAAAGTTGTAAATGAGTTTTACGGCACTTGCAACACAATTAGGTAATACAATTGTGCCGAAGAGTAGAGGTGTTACTAAAGAGTGACGTCCAAAGAAAAGGAGAAGAAACGCCCAGAAAGTTGTTAGTACATAACTGACACTCCACATTTTATGGATAGAGAGGAAAACATTTTTAAAAACTCAACAGTAATAGAGAGAAGTAAAATTTAATGGAGTTTCATAATTTCAACGGATCAGTGCTGAGAGGGTTTAAATTCAAACATAACAGAAGAAAACCACCTACCTCTTGGCCACCACTTTGTACCACTTCTGCGGCTCCAGAGACCGACCATGGGACACGGAGCCCAAGCCTTTACCAGATTCCCAGCTGAAGCGCACCTTCCCATCCTTGATTTCAGCAGCTAAAAATTCCTGCAACAACACGGACAAACAGCTCACCTTTAGTGGAGGAACATCCACAGGAAGATTATAATCTAAAAAGTTCCACAACACCAACAACAACATGCTTGGAAAAGATCGTAAAATTCATCAATAGTAATAAATAGCATTTGTATAGCGCATATTCTCGCTTGACAGAAAGCTCTATGCGCTTTACACACTAAAATTCATTGGCATAACCAGAACTTTCTTTTTCATAACGCATATCTGGAGCAAGGTATTTGACCATCTGTCTTACATAATTAATTATTAAATCACAAAGTCAAGTTCTTTACCGCCACAGACTCTCCCATCCCCCCATCCCTCATCTGCTTATTTCTTCAACACATTGTCCCCACTCAGAACTTCTATTGCCATATACACGACATATGTAAAAGGTAAGCCTGAACACAAGACAGCCATGACATATGGACTATACATATTAGTATAAGAGTAAAGAAAGCATTCCAGGTAGGACGATGAAAATAATTATAATTTCTTAACAGGTTTGAACCTCAACTTCCATGTATCCAAACAAGTTTCAAGAGTACCTCACCAGTGTCCAGCACTTCTATGGGCTTTTTTTTCTGGGCAGAGCACTACATACTCTTCTTAGGAGTGGATCTACTTTGAACAGCATAGATGCCAATGTAAAACATGCCAACAAGGAAAAATCCTTGTTCTCCATGCCTTCAAATCATTGGTTTTGATGTAGCATTGAAAACGCAACCAGTTAACGTATTTAAACAAGACACTTTATGGGCAGTAAAAGCTGATGCATATATAACTCAAAACCTCAGCTTTAGAAGTTCAAAAAGCACTTCACATGTCACAGTGAAGCAGCAGGTTACATTCATTCCCTGAAAACCTTTCCCACAGAACAACAAATGTTCAATAATTAAATAAAGCCTACGTTCCATGGAGAAAAAAATTACAACACAATCTCATAATATATAGATATCAACAAGCCAAATTTTTAAAGCCTATAATACTTCGAACAAAGCACATATTGAAGAAAGAGCTATCGATATTTTGCATGTCTGAATCATAAGAGGATTATATGTGAATAAATGTAGGTTTTTTTTTGTTTTTTATGTTAAAGTAAAGAAAAGGACAAGAAAGGATATGACATTTTGATATACAGGGTTGCATAAAATGAGTATAACGCACGAATGCAGCAGAAAGTGTAACTCTACTATGTCAGACATAGGTACAATACGAGAGCTGAAAAAAATAAATAAAAAGGACACACTACTGTATTGTGAATGCGGGCAAAAGAGTGAAAGAAATTTGAAACAAGTATCCAATATTTTTTGTGAAACAAAGAATGTATGGGTGCTAGTTTCATGGCTGATGTAATAATAATATAACCAAGAAAAGCACTGAAGCCATCACTATACTACTCAAAATACGAGGGCATTCAAAGTCTTTACCCTGCCTATGACAGAAGCAAACTGGAAGGTTGAAATTTGACATTCACAACTTTTTTACGTAATCACTCCGCAAATTGACATTCTTGTTCCATCTTTGTTTGACCTTCAAATACCCTTGAGCAAAATAGGACTTCCAATGGGACTCAGACCATCCCTCCACTGCAGGAGGCCTACAGCCTTTGAGAATTTTTTGTTCAGATAATTTGGGGGGAAAAAATGTCAGATGGTGCTATATTGGGTGACTATGAGGTGGATGTGGGAGAATTTAGTAATTTTGTAGCCACACTGCACTGCTTTCTGAGTTGCCTCCACAGCTCTGTGTGCTGGAAGATTTTCATGCAGCAACATAATTCACTTTTACAGCAGCTTCCTTCATCTTTTATCAGCCAAAGTAGATGGTAGTTTCATCAACAGCACAGAACTGAAGTCCCCAAGTGACAGTTTAGTAGTAGTATAGGGTTTTACGGCACTCGCAACTGCATAAGGTCATATGAGCGCGCGAAACACAAGTTGTTTACATTCGCAAAAGTTCACTGCACGGTTGGTTAACTATTAGACTTTAAAATGCTAAAATATTAAAATTCGGAGTAAATATATTTTCAGTTTAAAACAACAATAAAAATTTTAAATAGTACGATTTCACTAAACAATTTGCCATAAAGGCCAATGGCCTTCATAAAATTCAACATTCTGCTGGGACCAACGACGGAAAAAATGTCTTGCAATTTCTTGCATTTATAATATTTCCTTCGGATCTCTCCAAAGTCTAGACATTCGGTTAAGATGTGTCTAACGGTAAAATCTGTGTCACATCCGACACAGAACGGCTTCTCATCTCTTTGTAGGAGGTAAAGTGACAGTTTGGCCATTTATAAGTAATCTGTCATGATGACACTCTCACTGTCCCAAAGCAGGACAACATAATTCCATCCAACTTAAAGTTTGCACCTTTGCCTACTTTGGCAATAGGGATGAAGGAGTCTTCAATAAATGTATCGAAGAGAATTTTTATTAGAAAACAAAATGATGAACTCTGGTATCATCCATTTTTACAACTCAGTATAACAAACTGGGTATCTTCTGTCCTCTGTGCAACAGTCAACTCTTTCGTAGCTGTTGATCTAGTGTCAAAAGCCAAGGAAGCCACCTTGCACACTTTCTGAACATGTGAAAATAGTCGTGCAAGATCGTTTCTATAGCGTCCATGCTCATTTTTATTGCAATTGCCAACTGTTTGACAGTTAATGATCAATCCACAAACACAGGTTCTTCACTAGACCCACACTTTCGACGTAATAACGATGGTTGGATGCCCTTCTCATGGGTGGTCAAGAATGGACAATTTAAACAGTTTACTTTAGATTTACTTCTCCAACATTTTAAATTTTCATAAAAAGAGCATTTAGCAAGATAAACATTTGACTGGCCAAAAATTGTCACTGGTGACTTTCCTTACAAATAAAGAAATTTGATCAAAAAGAAATAATCTTTCCGCTTTATTTATTTTAAAAAATCATATTCAAAATCTATGTTCACTAAAAGTGCTCTCAGGTTCACATCAATATTCCGATTTCACCATTGCTCCACATGCATAATTCCTTCATCGTCAGGGAAAAGACTTAATGAACACCCCTCTTACAAGGTCTTAATAGGGCACATACAATTTTACCCTGCATGAGTGTCATTATAGAAACATTTTTGGTGAAAAGTAAGGATTTGGAGGGGGTTGGGACACATTAAGTAGACTTATGAAAGTAGCCCCTTTTGTTCAAGATAGAAAAACAAAATCATACTTAAAAAACAATGAGTTATGTCAACATCGCAATAGACTTGACTTGTTTACAAAACTAAATATTCAAATGAATATCATGTCCCATGGTAGAAGATCCCCAAATATACATGAAAAAAATAAGCGACATATCTAAGAGCAACATTCCAAACCAACACAGCATTATTCTTATGATCAGTAAAATATCAGTGTGGTGGTGAAAGGGAATCCTGATTGAGTCATTTCAAAACCACCCAATAAAGAAGCCTACCAAAAATTGAAAAGAAAAAAACCCCAGGAAAGAATGCTGATCAGTAAGATTTAAGGATGAATCTAAGGTGCTGGTTGGTTTTTAATAAACACATGTTAACAAAATCAGTCCATGATTCAGTCTGATCGTTAGCATCAAAGAAACAAACAAAAGACAAAGATCATCCATGGAGTAGTTAAAGAGCGAGATGGGAGAGATTTTAATTAGAAGAGTAGAAAGGCCCATCTTAAAATAATGTATTGCATATCGGTGAACGTCCGATGTATTCATATATTAGGCCTATAGTCTATTAAGCTAGTACAGTGTGGATGAGACCTCATCCATCTGTCCCCAGAATTGACTGATCACTTTTTCCTGAAGGTATTATTTACAAAAGAAATTTCGAACTAAAAATCAACACCATAGAGAAAAATAAACAATTTTAGTATTTTTAAATCGAACAAAATCCTTATTTCTAAGACTGAAATAAAAGAGAGAAAAATATTAAAATCTATAATAATAATACGGAAAGATAAAAACTCAGATATATTGCATAAAGAGACAGCAGTAGAGAATGAAAATTAATATGGTATGGTAGGAATTCACAGAACGCCAGCGTTGAGAGGCAGAGACATCTACTTTTTAGTGTAGTCCTAAGTAAGGCACTTTCGTTATTGTGCTAGTGATATACGTCATCAAAGCTGCAAACTTGACAAATTAACAAGAAGGTTAAATAATGAGGCAATGCAAGCAACGCTGGAATACACCCTAACCCTTGAGAAAAATACTCAACAAATTATGCCTTGAGAAAAGCATCAAACGAACATTCTACATATTAAACTATGCTCTCTCTAATTCTACAAATTAAACTATGCTCTCTCTAATTCTACAAATTAAACTATGCTTTCTCCATTCTTTATAAAAGACATGGTCTTTGAGCAGACCAAGATCAGCACTATTGGAAACCGAATGAAACAGTATAACATTTGATACTACATCATTCTCCTACTACCATTGTCACTCCAACAATGAGAACACTATAAGCAAAACCAATTGAGCTTTACTATAGCACACAATTTCTTAAAACAAGCAAGCAATAATTTGTAAATATGAGTAATACTCCATCTTT